CCCCAAAACCCCAAAACCCCAAAACCCCATATAAGCCAATAATAGTTGAGTATATCTGTAATGAATATTCACCTATATAAACATTCAAGGTAAAACCTTTTTATCAATCTTGTTTAACCATCCTCTCTAGAAGTGACGAAGAGACAACTTATGTTAACCTCGAGGACAAAGATAACAATTTGGACCAGCACTTGTTGCCAACCCCGGCCAAAGAGGCATCAAGCCAAACCAAAAGCATTGTATTTGCGTTGCTGACAGGGGTTTTCTATGCTTTGCACAACTTCACACTTGGAAGTCTTGCAAGAATGGGTTACTTAGCCAGGTTCAACACTGGAATCGGAATGGTTATTTCAGCAATCATCTACTACATATACAAGTTCATAATGGCCAAGAAGAATGGAGAAGAGTTCTTCAATCGTGAAGAGTCTGTGTTTCTGGACCAAAAGACAAACTTTGCTCATGGTTCAAGAGGAAGAGTAGAACCATGGATCGTAGTTGGGATCTTAGTCAACAACATCTTTAAGATTGGAGGCGGGCTTGTAGTAATCATCGCTTTCAAGATGGCTTTAGAAAGCGGTCTTAACCAAGGCATCATCACTTCCTTATTCGGAATGACTCCATTTCTCGCTTCTCTGTGTTTCTACTGTTTGTTCAACGAGAAACTTAGAATTTCTCAAGTTGCAGGTATGATGTTCATGGTCGGTTGCATCGTGTGTATCGGATTAGGAACTACAGCCACAAAACTCAACACCAAGATGTCTATTCACCCAGAAAGTTCTAACGCAACTGCGTACATTTGCATTTTGCTTGCATGCATTTGTCCTGTGTTCTTTGCCATTGGTGGACTCATCATGAGGCTGATGAAAGTGGAGTTCCAGACTGACCCCAATGATTTCACACAGGTTTGCTACCTCTGGCAAGCTCCAGTTCTAGTGGCTGGAGTAATCTTCGGATACACCGCAGGAGGATTCGACTTCGTACTTGCAGAATTCATGCAAATGATTGCTGCAGGCATGCTGGTCAGCATCGGAGGCGCCTTTTTCAATATTGCTATATCATGTGGAAATGCAGGAGTTGCCTACTCGCTCATCAACGTTCAAGTCATCATATTCTCGGTATTAGCAGCAGTATTCCTTCAACAAATTCCATCTAACATAGAAATGTTGGCAGGCACTTTAGGAATCATTGGTTCGTGCATAATGTCGATTGGCCCAAGCATTGTAGAGAAAATCCAGAAATCAATTAAAAAGTAGCTCAATTATCCAAACAAAGAAACGACTAATTATATAAATTCAATAAATCTAACTCAACTAGGGGTTTTGGGGTTTTGGGGTTTTGGGGTTTTGGGG